TGCGGAAGCCAATGAATCAAAGCAGACCAACAAAGACAAATGGAGGGCCCTTGCTTATGACATATTCGATGACCAGCACGACATCACTAGAGGAAAGGGTATGGTGGATTCTCTCCCTCTTGTTTTCTCGTTTTTCCCCCCTCCCTCAACTGCGTAAAGAGCTGGCTTTGGCTCTATTTAGTTTTCTTGAGAAAGAAGATGGTAGGTACTAATTTGTCACAAAATGAAAGTTCAGGTACTAAATTGTCGCATTTTAAAGTTCGGGTACTAAATTGGCACTTGACCTAAAGTACAAAGTACCTATGGGGAATTTTCCCTTATAGATATGGCCCTGATAAAGCGTCCTCACAAGTCACAACTATGAGTTTCAATGGATCCGTTTTGTATTGGACTTGGACCTGTTCAAATCAAAATCAATTTGGATGGATTGGACAGATATGACATACTGAATTGGGACAGTCCACACTTAATGGTATAAAATATTTATTTGATTGCACTGGACCTGATTCATCGATAATGGATTTATATTGGATTGGGTGAGATTGGACCAATATCAATTCCATTGATAGAAAATAAGAATATAGGTGCCAATGGACCAGGTTTGCATTGGAGCAAATCTAAATTAAAATTGAACGGTCTAGATATTGAATTGGACCGGTCCAAATTGGCACAAAGTATTCACCAGATTGCATTGAACTTTGTCCGTTTGTAATAGATTCAGATTGGACCGAATTCGTTCCAATTGATACCCCTACTCAACAACATATCCTAGCAGCACATCGGTAACATCTCCCATAGCATACCCCATCGCAATACACGATGGGGTATGCTATGAGGTTGATGTGAGAAACACAATCGAGAGGATCAAATCCTGGTTCCTTCCTTTCTTAATAGATTTACGATAATTCTGCCAAAGGGATACATATTATTCATCTGATCCGGAAGGGATCTATTACCAACAAAACGCTTCCAATACTGTCCCAAGGCCACTACAGCTGACACGGGCAACATCTCCCTTGTCATTCATAGGAAGATGTCCCAAAGGGTAACAGTAATGACTTGTTGAGACCAAAGCATTTGTTGGGAAAGCAGTTGTTCAGTGATACTATTTTTACACCAAACCTAACATATGAAGAAACTGAATGAACACTCTAAGGTCTACCCAACTGTGTTAAGTTTAGGTCAGATTGGTGGGCCTGGTATTGGGTTGGAGTTCACCTCCTAGGGTTGGGCCTTGGTTGGCCATAATCGCAGTCCGTCCAAGTTGTACGCCTATATATGCTTTTTCTTGCATTTGGAAATGGCCACAGGAACTAAAATAACCTGCCAAAGTATATGAAAGGGTAACCCATAAAATCATGATGAATGATGATTAAGGAAAAAAAAAAAAAAAAACTTGGCAAATCGACATTAGGGATAGAATAAAAAATGGAGAATGATATAAGAGAGGAAATAACAGGAAAACAAAAAAAAGGCAAAGCCCGCTTAAAGATGAGAATAGTATCCATCTTCTGATTTCTTGCTTAATTGCTCATACTGATTTTTATTCCAGTTTAAAACTTTGAATGCTCTTCTTGTTGTCAAAGACTTAAACTTTACATGTTTATTGTAAAAAGGTGAAAATTACATACAAACATGGACGTTTGGAAACACTCCTATTCTTCTCGAACTTGTCAATTGTAGTATTTATGTTTTAAGGGAAGTCCCACCCCAACCCGGCTCAGTTTTGCATCCATTTATTTGTGGCTACGATTTGTATTTTTACCTAATATATAAAATTTGTACATATTTTCTCATTTACACTTGCTGGCAGTACAAATTTTGCATTGGGTAAAATTTCCTGCTACCTCAATTCTCCCTCATATAACTTAGTCCCAAAATCTAGCTCGGGCCTGGGCCCAGGCTATAGCCATTGTCATCAATGCCAAGCCAAGACAAGTTCAAATCAGCACCCCGCAAAACTGTCCCCCACAACGTGGTACATCCCTGCCATGTATTAGAAACATCTCCCAATGATAATATCAAGAATGATAATATTATTATTGGGAGATATTCCCAATATACGGTGAAGAAGATGTGCTGTAGAACGTTGTGGGGGGCTGATTCGGTCTCAGCCAAGCCCGGCCCATGATCATTCCCGATCTCCAATGGTAATGTTAAATCCAAATAATTATAAAAAATGTCTTAACAGATTTCTTCAGATTAGCTGAACGCAATAACTGACCACACTTACAGTGTAGCAGACCACATAGATACCACCTGGTTTTAACGTTATACAGCCAGTCAGCCACCCTGTTGTAACGGTGGGCGAAAAGGGCAGAAATGCGAAAACACCGTCTCCAATAAACGCATTATATATAATAATATATGTAGCTTTTTCTCTCCCCAACACAAACACCACTACCACACCAGAGCTCCATCCACGCAAATGATGATGGTGACATGAAAATGTAATTGGAGTTGGGTGCTTCTACACAGAACTCAACCACAGACACAGTCAGATTCCACGTACGTAGGAACTACGAAATGGAGGGTCTTCTGGCGTTCCCAAGCTAGCACAACAATAATCATCAAATTTGAGTCTGAAACGGAAGCCATTGTTGTTAATTAATTGCTTACTATCATCCCTCGTAATTAGCTACTTAGTTTTGTTTCTCTCTCTCTCACACACACATACAATTTATAGGCACTAATTTGATCTGTAATTCGTTAGTCAAGCGGTGCTCTGACTTTGCTAAAGGCTAAAGCTAATGAAAATCGTATTAAATTATTAATTAATTAGGAATGGGAATGCATGGATGGCATCGGGATCATTAGTTGAAGCCTAAACATTCGCAGGCAGGCGGCAGTTGCCGTCTACGTTTCAGTCGATCATTTGGTTTGGTAGAAAGATGAGGTCAAAACTCAAAATGCATGTGGGATATCTGCTTAATTAATTAGAAATGATCCATCTTTTTGAATTCGCAACAACAAGCATTTAATTAAGAAGGTGGTTTATAATTTGTACAGGAATACATCTTCTTTCTGTGTTGAGCGTTGAGTCTGTTGACCACACGAAATACTACGTAATACCTTTCTGCCACCTCATGAGAACGGATATGGGCTGAACTTGAATGGAACCCAGATTTCCTACTCACTTTTCTTACCCTCTCTCTCCATTTATTCGATTTATGGCTGGCATGGGATGTAATGATTGGTATCACACCACAGTCCGTCCAAAAGTATCAAGTTCAGCGAATCCACTCGCAACAAGTTCGTATGTTGGCATAATAAGGGTGGCAGGATGAGTCAGGACGACTCGCCAACATCCTACGATATATCACACACAGACAGAACAGAATACAGGATGACTCATGTCCAAAGTGCAACCTTCATCCTGTTCGCCGCGAGGGGCGCGCACTACAGTTAAACTGCAACCTTTTTTTATTTTTCAAACCTGGATGACTCATCTCCAAAGCGTAACCTTCATCCTGTTCCTGTTCGCCGCGCGCAAACTGTAAATTAACTAAACTTTTTTTCTTTTTGTTTGGTTTTTCAAACCACAAGTTTATATCGATTCTATATATTTGGCAGTGTATATATATATATATATATATGTTTGGGTTTATCTAAAACATGAGTGATGAGTCGAGTTGGGTGACTCGGTGATGGAATGAACTTTAGCACTCTAATCCACGGATTAGCTTTCTTTAAAGGGTTTTAATTAAAATTAATGAACAGACAAAAGATTTTTGGCTTTGAAGCGATATCTTACTCTTAGGGGGGAACCCCTAGTTATGTGTCAACGATGTTCTAACGTGTCAAACCGATGACGTTCCAAAAAACTAGACTGTAGACAGAATTGAGAAAGTAAATGAAGAACCATCTTAATTATTTCAAATAAGCAGCTGAATCGACAATAAAGTAGACCAGATGGTACATGAATGCTGTTTGGGCTTGGTTGGACCATCCAAATCGAATGGTTCTGTTTTGTTGTCCATTTTCTGGTCTTTTAGGTTTAAAACTATCAGAGGTACGTACCCCTCTTTAATTTGCAAATCGAATCCATTTTTTGTTCTTTAAGTTGTTTTAAAAAGGATTATTTCATAATCCATTCTTTTGAATTAAGAAATTAAAGAAAGACAGTGGTTACAAACAGATGTGACTTCATCAACGTTTTCACATTGATTATAACAAGTAGAAAAAGAATTTGCAGAGAAATGAACAGAAAAAAAAAAAATAAAACCAATAAAATGGACTAAACTCATAGAGGTTATAATAAAACAGAGTTAATAATCGATTTGTATATGAAGCATAAGTTCAAGTTGAGTCTCTTAAATATTGAATGGGCCGGGAGATAATAGGATTAATTTGGGCTTAGGGGACGACGACCTTTCAAGGGTGATCATGGCACGAACCATTTCCCATCTCTCTCCCAAAGTCAACTCGTACCTTACTGTAATAATTAAAAGAAATAAAGAAAAAGAATTTAAGGGTAGTAGTGGGAAGACAGTGTGTTAAAAGTCTATGCTTGGACAAGCAGAGAATTATATTAAATATACAAAGAGGTAGCGTCAGTTCAACATCAGCAAGATAAATGACACAAAACTATATATGAGTTGCAGCAAACTTACATATCCTGAAAAGTTGAAACAGGAACCGCACTAGCTCGATAATGCATGTTGCATAGGCGCTGAGACGTCCCTCCCTTGTAACATTTCAGAAAAAAAAAAAAAAAGTATCAATTAATAATGCAGAGAAGACATTGTTTTGGACTACAATTCCTCTGGCGCTTGCATGATTCTTCGTTCGTAGTGGACTTCAGATGCATAAGGCCACTTGTTTTAAGGTGTTTATGAATGACAAATTAATTAAAAGAGAGGTTAGACAAAACTAGCTAGTGGAGTCCCTAGATTTGGATATATGAAGAAAGATGCTGTGTTGGAAATGGTTTTTGGTGCATGAACAGACTCGTATATAAACAGGAGCCATGCTTCTGTTTGACTTGCACAGAAGCTTTCGCTAGCTACCAAGCTATCTAAGACAGAATTTCTGGTGTTTTTGTGTTTGTCACATATATACATTTCCCATACAAACTAGCTACAGAGCCTATTCCTACAGTAGTGTGTCTACCGTCTAGGTGTTGGGGTTGGTCAAGATGAAAGACCAAGTGTCAAGCCAGTCACTTTTCTGTCGCCTATTCAACAAGGCAAAGCCTTTCTTGGCGGTGATCTTCCTGCAGCTCGGCCTTGCAGGTATGGCTATCATTGCTAAGATTGCTTTGGACCAGGGGCTCAGCCACTACACATTTGTTGTCTATCGTAATGCTGTTGCTACTTGTGTCATTGCTCCTTTTGCTATCACCTTGGAGAGGTCCGTTGCTTTCTCTCTCTCTCTCTCTCTCTCTCTCTCTCTCTCTCTCTGTGCTGTGCATTTCTAGCTATATAAGTATATATAATAAATGTCCACTTAACTAATGGGTTTCTCGGTTTACAAATTTTAACAGGAAAGTGAGGCCCAAGATGACATACTCAGTCTTCGCCAAGATAGCATTGCTAGGCTTATTGGAGTAACTATCTGAAGCTCGATCGTCATTGATGAAAGATATATAGAGCTGCTAGTATTATCTATCTAACCACAAACTTTTTTATTTTGTCGTCTCTACAGGCCGGTGATCGACCAAAACCTGTATTACGCGGGAATGAGTTACACTACAGCAACATTCACAGCTGCCATGTGCAATATTCTTCCTGCGTTAACCTTCCTGTTGGCTTTCGTTCTGAGGTATCTCTCTTTGCTTCATTAGTTGCCAGCATCCTTAATTAATTTCCACCCAACGCTACTAGATTAAATATTTATTCTCTCCATTAATCAATCGTTTCATGACATGCACATTTCAACCGATGAGATTAAACCCAGCTGCTGCTTCTTTGGATTATTTCACAGGCTTGAGAAGGTGAACATTAAGAACGTGCGTAGCCAAGCAAAGGTGGTGGGAACTCTAGTAACGGTTGGGGGAGCCATGCTCATGACACTAATCAAAGGCCCAACGATGGACCTGCCTTGGACAAAAGGAACAGTTAATAATACAAGCCAAACAGGTCATCCAGTCCAACAAGATCCGATTAAGGGTGCTCTTATGATCGCAACCGGTTGCTTCTGCTGGTCTTGTTTCATAATTTTACAGGTATTAATTAATTAAAGTGCGATCTTTCACATCATCATTGATCACTTGATAATAATTCATTGTTCCTCTGTATTTTTCTTTTGTTAAGTACGCCATGCAAATATGTTTGTTACAGGCAATCACACTCAAGGCATACCCAGCCGGACTCTCTCTCACTGCGTTGCTGTGCTTCATGGGAACAATAGAGGGTGCTGCTGTGGCGCTTGCCATGCAATGGGGAAACACTTCTTCCTGGGCCATTCATTGGGATGCCAAATTCCTCGCTGCTGTCTATGGTGTAAGTGATGAATTCAAAGGAACCCATCACAAAACTGTTACCTGTTCAGCTTGATTTTGATTAGTGATCAAGATTTCAGCAGTTCAATCTCAACAATGAATATTAATGATTCGATTTCCTTTGTTGTTTATGGGTTAATTTGACTTAATATGTAGTTAATTGTATTGAACCCATGACTTTATGTGTGTCATAGAAAAAAAAAAGTATAACCATATTATTGACATTTCAGCTTTCTTTAATTTATATGCTCATGCAAGAATCTGGATTGGATGCAGGGAATAATGTGTTCTGGAGTTGCCTATTACGTTCAAGGAGTGATAATGAAGGAAAGAGGTCCGGTGTTTGTCACCGCTTTCAGTCCCCTTTGCATGATTATCGTTGCCATATTGGGTTCCTTCATCTTAGCAGAAGAGATGTATCTAGGAAGGTATATATATATACATATCTTATTAATTATCCCTCTACTCTCCATAATCAAGGAGGAAATTAAATAAATAAAATTCATGATTTAATTCATAGCTAGCTTGCCTAAATTAAAACATTAATTTTTATGATGCATGTGCATGGTTACAGTGTAATTGGAGCAACCGTCATAGTGGTTGGCCTTTACCTTGTTGTGTGGGGTAAGAGCAAGGATCACATCCCCTCCTCCCCGTCTACCAACCAACAGATTGCACCAGTTGAACTAAAAGCAAGTTCCATCGACACTGGGAAAGGCAACCCCGATGATGATGAGTTTGTGGGAATCGATGCTGCAGCTGCGCAAGTGTAGGAGAAGGGGTTTGTTGATTTGATTTGCTGCGGCATTGATATGATTTGCACCAATTTAATCGAGGCATCTCTTCTCTGAAGAGTTGGAGAAAGGGTTTGTTTTTTCTCTTTCTTCTACTCACCAAGTTTCATGTTATCCGTATAGAGTATCGTCTTCGTTATTTGTTTTCCCAAAATTCTCTGCAAGAGAATGCAAAAGCTTGGCCTCCTTTTTTGCTATTAATGTAGCGGATCTTGTAAGTTGTAACCGTACCAGTACAGTTCTAACTAATAAAGTTGGTGTTAAGCATGGCTAATTAAAGACTTCACTTTTGTAAGTTGTGCTCATGGATTTTAAAACTGACCCGATGACCGAACCGGTCAGGGTCCCTTACCGGGTCGAATAGTCCGGTTTGTTCTGACACAAAAATAAAATATTTTAAAAAAATTTGAAAAACGGTCAAAACCATTACAAGCTTCAAATGACACAATTTCCTCTAAGAAAAGGAACAGCATTCCTCCGAAAAGAGGTGGTGGAGATACTCAACGCAGTTTCGCCAATAAATGAGCCACCTGATTTATTTTTCTTGAGATGTGGTTGAGTTGGTATGATGAGAACAATAGGAGAGACCTGCAATCCGCCATTAGACTTGTTAATTGCCAGGGAGAGGATTCCACTTTATCCAATAGGTACTTACCAACATTAGCTGCATCTCCTTCAAGGGCAACATTCTCAAGCTTCTGCTTCCTCTGGATTCATCTCAGATGAAGGGATAGTTTTGGAAAGCTACCAGCCAAGTCCAACTGCCTCGAACCTAGCAATTCCCGCACTGCCGTCTATATTTGTGTTTTAAAACAACCCTAGACCCATAGGGGAATCGAACTGATCTCAGGGCAAATAGTATGAATTCATCATGGTTAAGATCTGGACTCCGACCTCTGAACTTCAATGCAGTGTGAATCTCTTGCAACTTAGTATTGGCTGTCCAAATGAATTACTGAGTCTCGGTGCTTCCACATATGTTCAGTGATTCGCCAAATAAATAAGCTTTTGAGTTTTGCCTACTGGTACTGGGTGATGCGGAGCTGCTGTGGCAGGTGCTGACGCTATTAATGCCGAAAGCCCTTGCACACTTAGGGCCGTGGGTAGAAGTAGAGACTAGAACCAGCATGATCACGTATTCATGCTTGAAGGGATCAAATTCTCAATGAAGCCTGGAGGCTGGAGGCTGAGATTGGTTGGTTGGTTGGAAACTTGGAATACTTGCAATGCAAGCATGCAAAATGGTTGGAACCGCTAACAAAACGTTTCTTTGTATATTCTTTTGAGTAATTTAAGGGAGCAAGAAGCATAAACAGTAAAACAGCGTCGTTACATCCATTCAACCATTCAGGTCTCTTGTATTTTCAACTCCTACGTACCCAACTTTCAACTACTTCATTCTGAAAGAGAAAGTAAGGGGTAAATTCCAGGAGAAACTAAAACCAGAGCATCCACGGAAGAGAAGCCAATAACTCATTCTATATGACCACTATAAACTATGCAAAACATACACATTCAGTGCCTTGGAAGAGAGACCAGACATCTCCCTCTGTAGCTACAAGTGCAGCACAAACGCTCTTTTTAATTACATTGATAGTTGAAACTGAAGCACGAGGACAATCCATGTCTCAGCAAAACTCTATATGCATTAAAAGTGTGAGAAACATCACAATATCCCAAACCATTTCAATTTCCACACTGATTCGATAATACTGCCGGAACAAATGTTTCCTTCTATTCACAAAATTTAAGGATTATCCTACCTTATACTTTTTGCATAACGCACACCTAAAAGACTTCACTTTGAGATTGCTGTGCTTCATCCTTTCCAAAGATTCGTTGAAGCTCACGCGTTGCTGCTTCAAATGATGCTGAAAATAAAGGCAAATGAGCATGTGACTAAGTGAGAACAATGAAGAAAGCCATCTTTCTTAAAATAAGTGACCATATAAAATTTCTTTTAAACCAACAATGTAATCAAATAGGAGTTTCCATCACCTTTCCAGATACGGAAAGACTTCTGATTGATTGGGGAACCCGTCACAGTTTGAATTGCATCAAACAACAAGTTCTGTGGCGTACTCCTTAGCTCTTGGACTATCCCATAAATAGTCTTCCCATTATCAAAAAATATGTGATTATTTGGGTGTTTCGTTTTGCAACCAGCATGGCGCTCAAATTCATATGCATTCAGCACCTGAATGATCATTAAATCTGTAAATAATTGGCTGATAAATTTGTTCAAGAGGAATGGTAAAAACTGCTGTTGTAATCCTTTGAAATGGAAGCTACAATTACTGGCTTTTACCTTAGAGAAATTACATGATTGACAGCTGCACAAATATCCCGAACCTTTTATAACTCCACGAAGCTCCTTCTGACAGGAAGTTAAACAAACAAGTTATTAAACACAAACTAACATTAAGTTAAAAGTACACAAGAGTCACATTTTACCTCCCGTGACCAGGAAATATACTTCACATGGACTCCATCAAGCATACCCGTTGAAAGCAAGCTTTTGACATTTGAAGGGAAGTTATTTGGAGCAACCTTCTTTGACATTTTTATCTCCATCTTGTTCTTAGTAACAGTTTCAGTTACCCCAGATGTATTTTGAGCATTATTTACAAATACATCTACACTTGTATCAACTAATTCTTTTTCATTGACGGTCTCTGTCTCTGATGTTTGAATGGAAGATTGACTCATTAGCAAGTCATAGCTGCTTATAAGCCTGCCTGAGGGGTTTGTGTCAGTTTCTTCATGAAAGCCAGTGAAAGATATAGTAGTGGAATCACCCTTATTATAAGGATGACCCATTGAGATTATATTGTTATCCCCCTTGTTGAAGATGTGACCCATTGTTATTGTACCGTCATCTGCTTTGTTGTAGATGTGACCCATTGTCATAGTATTTTCATCCCCCTTGTAGGCATGAGTCATTGACATAGTATTCTGATCCTCCTTATTGTAGGCGTGGCCCATAGATATGGTATTATCATCACCTTTATTATATGCATGACTCATTGATATGGTATTCTCATCCCCTTTATTGTAGGTATGACCAATTGATATTGTATTCTCATCCCTCTTATCATAGGTGTGACCCATTGATATGGGATTGTCATCCCTCTTATCATAGGTGTGACCAATTGATATAGCATCGCCATCCCTCTTGTCATATGCATGACCCATTGAAATGGTATGGTCATCCCTCTTATCATAGGCATCACCTATTGACATGATATTGTTGTCTCCCCTATTGTATGCATGTCCCATTGACACAGATATGCCATTGTCAGAGTCCTTGACCTGATTAATTTTGACCTTTCTGATACCACCATAGCTGAGGCACGATGCAGGATCTTCCATTGTATGAGAAATAGACAAGCCAACAGAAGGATCATGTCCAAATTGGTCCTCAAAAACCTTTCTTCCCATATTGAGGTGCCCTGTATTGACAGAAAGTATGTTCCTAGCACCAAAGTTGATAGCCCTTGCTGGCTCAGATCCAAATAACCGGTCACCAAACTGGCTCGGCACTGATTGGAAACTTAAAGTGTTATCCCATGGAGAAAYATTTATGTTTGAAATTCCCGAAATTGACTTACTGTTTGAAGCATCTATTGCTTGCTTCTTGTTGGGAAACAGTTCCGGTTCCGTAGGATCTACAAACCAAGGGTGAGCACGCTTTGGTTCAATTCTGGAAGAATTATCACAAGTCATCTCACCATCATTTAAACACCCAGGACCTTTTGCCATCCAAAAGCCCTTGCTCTGGAAAGACTGGTATAAACAATTAATTAATAAAGGACCCACAAAAGACAAGTCACTTGATTACGGAACATAGCTAGTTTAAAAGAATACTGATAAGTCAATTATGTGGTCTAGTATCAAAATCCATCCTTAATCACTCCACCGACAATCCTGTTCATCCAAATGGATGAAGTGTCGCATGGACTCTCCTAAATGGATGAAGTGACAATATCATACATTTGTTAGATTTCAACAATCCAATGGACTCTTAAAGGATACTTCTATGTGACATTTTTCTTTTTCTCCTTGCTCATTGGTCATAAATGAACAGCTAATGTACACAATCAATGCCATTTTTCCTATAAAATATTATTAAGTAGCAAAGCTAATCTTTAGACCTTTTCCTACAGGGTTATAACAATAAAATTCAAGTAAATATGATGAACTAACTTAATAGTTTGTACTTATCTATACATGTTCACAAGTTCTTGTTTATTCATCTTAAAGGATCATACTCCTTGGCATCAGAATTTGGTTCCTGCATCTGCGTCCAAATTTGAAATAAAATTAACAATCCATATACTCATTTGAGAGTGTGCGGGATGGGCCATCCTGGCATCCAAAACCAGGAAGTCTACGCTTTCATATTATCTCTTTCCAAACCAACAAGGAAACACATAGGATTGGCATTGACTCTGCTTTTAGAAACCATTCCACTATGTAGTTCAAACTAGAAACTCTAAAACACTAAAACCCTCATTGAGGAGGGTACTGGCAACACCTGGAGGCTGCAAGGTAAACCCTTTGCATTTGTTCCATTATGCAACAATAAGTATCATTGAGAATTATAGTGCTCAAAGAGCAGATAACGAAGTTACCCTTCAAAGCAATCAATTCTTCAAGATCCATCCAGCCCTGCAAAAGCTTGATGAAGTGTAGGAGTATGTAGCTATGGATATTTATGATGCATAAGGCATTGTTCAGAAACACTATCTCTAGGACAGAGACTAACAGTTTGTATTTCATATAGATCAATGTAAATACTGTGACACTTCAAAATGCGAAGATTACTTGTATGAGATGCATAGACTTGAACATTTAATCATTCTGGTCAAGCACCATGAAACATCTTACCATTTATCTTTTCATACTTCCAAAAGATGGTGGCTCAGTATAGAATTCATTATGTCCCACTATAATTCTATCAGTATAGAATAAGATCAGGAGGCATCCCACTTTTAATACAGTCGAACTCATTCTAACACTCTGTACCCATCTCTTGGCATTCATATCTCTATGTATGGTGGCTCTGGTAGTGAATCCTCTTCTTGCTTGACTCTTCAAAACTAATCTACTTCTGGCTTGGGAACTATTGCACATCACCGATTCCTTTTACACAATAGCTAAAGACTCTTCAGAACCCAGTGGCAGGACTAATACCCAATCTATAGGTTATTTGTAGGATCACACTCAAACAACTTAATAGAGAGCTTTATCCTAGCTTCTCCTAGACCATTATTTTATTTTATTTTAATTTTTGAGTCAGCAACAACTATCAGAAAGATGTTATTGACCAGGGTGAGATAGAAAACGCCAACACTTAACTATGTGGCTCAAGATATGGAGACAAAAACATCATGAATGCTGACCACACAGCAAAAATAAATATAATGATACAATCACTATTTAGGTTCACTCATACAGCCTTCTACAATATGGCAAAAATCCTTCTGCTTTCTTGTCCAAAAAGAAATGAAAACATGGAAAAGGGAAAAAAAAATACAGAACAAAAAGATGGAAAAAAGTAATGCTCCTTATTTCCTTTCCTGGTGCATCCATCTTTCTTTGAAAACTTATTTGTTGTAAATAGTTCACATTGTTATGCATGTAAAACCATATCTTCCAAAATGTGGCCAAAATCCCCTCATTTCATAAAAGAGTGCAGGCGCCTAATGCAGTCTCAATGGCCTTAACTAATTTCCTTGTTATGTATGATGCCTCATAGCAGTCATTGATAAGGACATATTTGAGGTATAGAAAGCCACACTCCCATAACATGATCAAATTTCTTGCTTATGCAAAATGCAAGCTCTTAAGTGAATCTCATAACCCTAGATAACAATGAATTTCCACGTTGCGCAAAATTCCTCAATACCAAGACAAATTTCCAAAGAAAAAAGCTCCCTTGTGAAGGCTATTCTGATTAATTCCTTCTTTTCAATGGGTTGAAGAATCTAGTAACTATAAAAGTCATTAAGAGGTATTGACAACAGCAATGTTTCCAATAAAGGAGCTCAGCAAATGGAAGAGGTCCATACATAATCCTAACATTTAACTCCATTTTGCTTCTATACCAACATGTTGTCCACATCATGCAATCCAAAGAAACTCAAGCCTCTACTCTGTAGTCACCTGGACAGGCGCCTTTTTTCATACAAGTCATGGCATTCACTTCATGCCTAGATGAGGTAATTGACAACTATGGCAACTTACCTTTTTAGATATATATGGGACAATTAATCATTAAACAATTGAAGAGAAAGGAGAAAGTTATTGCCATGAAAGATAAGGATTAGTGGATACATAATAAAGTATCTTAATTAGAAAGCAAAAAGAATTTATAATGAGAAAGATACATAACCAAAAATCATCACCACCACCATAAAAATTTATGGACAAACAATGGACGACAAAATTAAAAAGAAAAAGAAAAAAAATCCAGTCCCCTTATCCCAAATATTGGAAGTCATCCCCTGTGGAATGTACTTGGTAGTTATTTCCCCTTAAATTCATGAATGAACGTTCTCAATGAAAGAATGCCAACCAAATCCACAGATTAGGGCACTGAGTTAAAGACTACTTTTGGAATTAAAAACAGGCAAAGCCAATAATCCAATCCAACTGAGTATTGCTAATCATGCATGATGTCAAACATCACATTCCTCATCAGCTGCTCAAAGAATCCATCAGGGCAATATGGTAAGAACTATCCCCACCAAAGTCTCTGGGAAATCAATAGTAGCTTCAGTCACCTCCAATGGAACTAACAATATGGTATTCAACAAGAAGAAATTGTCCAAATATATGCTTGTATATTTGCAAGCTAAACCCAAACTCCAAAAATGCTGACAACTTCAAGAGATAATACCATAAGAAGTCTAGAAGATCTAGGAACTGCTGAAGCGATTGCCCCTTCATGACACATTTTCTAAACCCCATGGATTGTATCTGCATTTTGTACTCCATGATCTTGTAATAGCAAAGGAGAGTTACTAAATAAAATATATAATAAGACACTTGAGAAGGAAACAAAATGTCCATCGGATTTAGAATTCATATTAAGCTCTACAGTTGTGAGTAGAAAATTTTTGGGCCACATGCATGGTGCATTCCACATGGACATGATAACATCAAAAGAACCATCTGAACCTTAATATTGAGTACAAAAAACTCCCTTGATCTAGAATTTCATACAGACACCATAACTACAACACAACATTTTCAAGAAAGAAAGCTTTAATTGTGTTATACCATTTTCACTATTTTGCTTCAAAGCGTGATTGGAACTCCAAACGGCACGATCAAATCAAGTTATGAACCYGGAGCTTTCCTTCGCCAGTCTACGACAAGGATAAGYAGATAARTAAACACAAGCCCTCGGGTCAACACAGTCGCACTCCAGGACGACCGATGGAAACTCGAAAAATGAATTCGTCTAAGCTTTGAAGTTTTGTTGTAGTATGGGTTGCGCTTCGATAGTGTAAGTGCGGCCTGATAACCGCTACAGCCTCTACTAGAAGTCACTTGGACATCAGGATCGGAGCTTATTCTCGTCGAGATCACTGTTGAGCTTAGAGAATTGATCGAACTAGTGCCCGATCTTCCTTACTATCTACCCGTCACCTGCAAAAGCTAATCCATGCATGTAAATTCACCATTCCATTTTCAACTCGAACCAACTCGTTTTACTTCATGGCAGTAAGTTTTGAAGGGTTTATCGAATCATAGATGTCAGACGGCAGAGGAATTTTTAAGGATTGATTTATTTTATTTTTATTTTTTTGGAATAAAGTGGCAAGAGTAGTGATGCCCTAACCCTAAACGTGGAGAAACGGTGATATAGAAGAAAGAGAGTTTGTCGACCAACTGTACCTTCGATACAGGGCGGGTAATTTGAATAAATAGATAGTCTCCGGTTAGAGATTGAAGAACTTTTCCCTCCGCTCTTCACCGGCGAATTTGAACCGGAGCAAGTAAGTATCCTTGGATGCGAAATTGGAATGTGGGTTTTATTTGGGAGGAAAAGATATAAGATGGCACTCTCCACGACTACAATTAAGAGTTTCTAATCCAGACCGTACACGTATGCAAGACATTGATTCATCCGGACCATCCATTAGTCGTAAACGTACTGAATGGTGCACAGCGTCATAGCCCAATTATCATGCAGCGGATGGTGCAGGAAGGCAAGACTTCAGACCAATCTGCTCTATTTGGAAACTGGGAAATTGAGGTTATGACTTAGTTACGACAGGGATTAGGAACTGTTGGATGGGAATATTTGATAAGGTCTATTATTTATGTGCGTTACTGAAATTCGAGTAGCGAGTAGGGAGTAGCGACTAGCGACACATGGGAGAATCAGAAAACATCAGGACCTTTTTTTTAGTTTTTATTCACCAAGACCAAAGAAATCCTCGGTTTATTGTCGTTTTCAGATGTCATTGACAAAAATGTCCGTGAGTATTTTCGTATTACTCACGTACCAACTAGTAAGTAGTAACTCTATCTTCTTGGACAAATGATCAGAAGCTTCATTAGCTTCCCAATCATATGATGGTCTACGGTTCTGCTTGTAAATACTGGGTCCACGTGACGTCAGTTCTATCGAGCATGAGTCCCCCACTCGTTGGGCCCACCTATTGGGCTGATGCGGCCCTTGATGAGCGGTCAGTCTCATCAGATTCAGAATCTGGAGTCTAATGTTAATGTGGATCGGATTGGATTCGGTAAGGGCATATCCTATTCGATCCGTTAAGAAAATCCGACTGATCCAAATTCAATAAGGATCCATCGGATTTTTAAAAACATGATTTGAATTCGAATTCAACTAGAATTATATTTATATATTGATGGAGCGCAATCCGGTGGATCCTAGCTGCTAATGATCTTGCCTCTGACTGGAGCAAAAGGTGCCTGAAACGGGAAAGGAAGCGAATACTCTCCGGGGAGGAATCCGGTGAGAGTGCTCCGAAGCTCAAGTTAATATTTTCTCAAAGGCAAGATAAAAAACCAGATGGTACAAAGTTATCACGTACCTTCATTCTTGGGGGGAAGAGGGCCTTTTATAACCACTTCGCGCACTCACTCCCAAACTCCTGTCAGGTCAGGTATCATTACCTCTGCACTTCTTCCAGTTCGGGTGTCATCACCTCTGCACTTCTGCCAGTTCGGGTGTCATCACCTTTGCTGGGGCAGACAACCGTCACTGCTCTCTTTGTTGGAGCCGTCTCTGTAACTGGAGGTGGCGGTGGCAGGTGGCCGTTGAAGTGCGACTGTCAAGCATCAGATCCTAAGTCAGTCAGGCGCGCCGCCTCAAGATACGGACTCCTTTGGTGTCAGGTACGGTTTTTCAGTTCGACGGCCTGGAGACGAAGTGCCGGAGTGGTGTGCGAGGTGAAGTCTTGAATTCGGGTAGAAGTGTGGCCTAAACTGCCCTGGGGTGGGCCAGTTCGGGTTGCTGCCCTTTGCATTCCTCGTAAGGCTCGGGGTCAAAGGGAGAGTTCGGGCTCTTTTTGGGGAGCTCGGACCACGGGTTCCTCTTCTCGGAGCTCGTGCCTTGAGCGTACTGTCGTGCCAAGCTATCGCTTCTGCCAAGTCACTCTCGGTTGCTTCCATGTGTTGGGTGGCCAAGAGGTCGGGCCAAATCTCCCTCCATCAATTGCCCCCCACTCCTCGTGCTAGGGCAAGACCCTTAGCGCGGGGAGTTCGCGAGGTGACGGGTGGATTTGACCCATACTTCAAACCGGTTGACTGATAGCGTGAAGTGTACGTACGTCAGGAGATTTTCGGATTCCTCGAGCGCCAAAAAGTCAGAAAACGCGTCAATCCGTCTTTAAATGCTGGGAGACGTGACGACGGACGTTATTTCAAATTCAAAAAACGTGCCACTGCTGCCTTTAATGCTGGGAGATGTGCGTCGGCGCCGCTTCAATTTCCAAAGATGTGCGGCCAGTCACATCTCGGTCTTAGGAGGTGTGTAGTCAGCTTGATCGTGAGCTGTTGGATTTGCCTCGATCAGAGCCGGTGGTTTTCGGTCACTGTGGGTATAAATAGTGGGGGACCCCCAGTCGCTTTCCATCGCCATTCTCCTGCGTTCGCTTCTTGAGCTCACGTCCAAGTTTTAGCTCGCGTCAACCTTCCGTAGTTCGTTAGCTTTTTTCGGGTGAGTCAGTACTTTCTTCCTGGTTTTCCTTTCCTCCCGATGTCTAGCTCGGACAGCTTAGATATCTTCTTGAGGGGGTCAGATGCAGGTTCCACGAACCGAGTTGCATCCCCCGACAGCCTTAGTGAGCCCGAGGTAGAGCTCGGGGAGAGCTTGAGGAAGAGTTCGAACCTGTAGGCCGAGTCGCCTCGGGTAGTTTGGTGTCCTCCTCCCGTTGAGGTCGGACGTTAGACAAGTTCGGGTCCTCAACCATGATGCCTGAAGGGCTTTACTCCCTTATCACCCAGTTCAACATGCCCGGGGAGTATACTTACTTTATACCCTCGGGTGACTTCCCTTGGGAACACGGTCCTGATGAGATCATGATATTCCCGGAGCAGCTCGTCGTCGGGCTGCGCCTACCTTTCCACCCTTTTATCGTCGAGGTTATGAACCACTTCGGCATCACCGTCGGTCAGCTCCACCCGAATTCTATCCGCAATTTGGTTGGGACTATCTCCCTCTTTTGCGAACACATTTTGCCTTTAGACCTAGAGATCTTCTCTTCTATTCTCATGCTTAAGAAGCAAGCGGGTCCCCTCCCGGGCATAGGTGGGCGCACTACTTGTCTCCTCGCCCGGGGTTCAAGATTTTACACGATCTTCCCAACAAGGTCCCGGCGTGGAAACAGGACTACTTCGGGGTACGAAGTGCAACGGGGTGGCCGTTCCAAACCGGGTGGGGGTTGGCTGCCCCTAACCCCGGTGTTACGCTAGATAGGGAGACGGCGAAGGGCCTCCGAGACTGGGCCCGGCTCAGGCTAAAATGCCACCATTATCTGACGGAGGACAAGCTCATCCAGGCCGGCCTGAGTTCGGGTAGGTTCTTTGCTCAAAGGCTTGCCTTTGTTTTGCTTTCTATTCTTTCGTTTTCCTGATGTCGAGCTCTTTTTGCAGGTGTGATGGACGCAGAAAAGACTCGTGGTGGAAACCTGTTTCATGCTATGAAGAGGAGGAAGCGAGTTGCCAAACGGACTCGTGCCGAACTGCCTCGAGATGCGGAGCCCGAGGTACCGAGCTCTCCGCCAATGGATCCACCTAGAGAGCCTGAGATGGCCCCTCCAGTACAAGAAGCGGCAAGGGCCCCTTACGCCGAGGCTGCTTATACCCGGGTTGGGCCTTCAAGCTCGGGAGGCCAAGGCGAGTTCAGGAGCGTGCTGTCGCCGAACCATGCTCTTCAAAAAAGTAGGGAGGCCGTTTATCCTGAGGAGGTCGCGGCATGGGCCGAGCTTCCTTTGAACCACGTAGCCAGGTGTGCTGCCTCTTATGCCATGGTGGTAAGTCAGCGACTTCTTGTCGGGCTCCTTGTCATTACCTTTCTCGCTATTACTCTTTTAACATTGTCGTTATTTTTCTTTTTGGCAGGTGAACTCCTCCATCCATGCTTTAGCGGCCCAAGCGGAAAGGAGCTCGAGGCGGGCACGAGCTACCGAAGAGGCTTCCCGCGCTACTGAAGCGGCTTCTCGCGCTGCACAGGCCAGGCTGGTGAGGTCTCAGAGAGACACCGAGGCCATGGGAGTGGTGGTGAAGCACATGGCGGACCTGAGGCTGAACTTGTAGCATCAGGTCGAATACCTTCAAAAGGATATTAGGGAGAGGACTAAGATCTTTTCTCAGGTTATCGAGGATGCCAAGAAGAAGGCCGTCGATGACTATATCGCCTCGTTGCGCTTTGACGACCTGATGGTGGGCTCGTACAGAAGGGGTTTTAGACTGAGCCGATGGATGATTAGGAACACGTACCCCAAGCTCGACATCAGCGCCATAACCACTTTGTGCATTACTCAGGAGATGGCCAACACGGCTGACGGTGAACCGGATTCTGAGGACGAGGCAGGACCCTCGGGTATCGTTGAAGTG